AGTTTACGCGATTAAGAAACCGGATGCCCGTTTTTAATATTCTATGTATTCAGTAAACTCGACTGTACTGTTCCTGCTGGAGTTAAATACATATGGTTCAATGACTTAAAACAAGTAAGGACGAAATATATTGGGGTAACCGAACATTTTGTAATCTTTTAACTTGAAAAAATCAAAGGCCGAAAAATACCTTCAGAAAAATATGGGAGTTGGGGATATTATTGACCCGATTTTTTCTCAGTGTGTCAGCAACACATACTATTTACATACTACATGCTAAAAAATATTCCCTGGGCTTCATAAAATTCCTGACATACAGTCCATAACCGCTCATATAGAGTAAAGACAGTTCGATAACTCTGGTATTAGTTATATAGCTAGGTCAAGTTTTCAATTTACCTATTTTAGGTACAAAGATACATTGAGATAACTCACATATGCGATAAATGCGGCATAAAGTCACCCATAAGTTTTATATAATATTAGGTATTTGGGGCTCAGGGAAGTATTGACCCGATTCAACCCATTTTTAATCCACAGAGATAGGAGAAGATTTTCTCTGAATTTTAATTGTATATCCCATACATGATATTTTCGGTCAAAAGTCAACTATAGATACTGGATTCGAGTCTACATTTCCGGTATTTGAGAGCTTCAGCAGTTTTGGCGTGGTTGTAGTCCGATTTCGCACTATTTGCATTTTGTCAAGAAGAACATTCTGAGAAGAAGAATACAACCGATCAAGTTTAGCTGAAATCGGTCAGTTCGGTCCCGAGATAGGTGATTTACCTAAAAGTGGGCGGTACTACGCCCGCCGTCCAATTTTTACTCCGGATCCTATAAAGCCCCCTCATACCATATCAGGTTTAAATTTTTGTCTCTGTCGTATTTTAGTAGTTGTTAACAGGACCATTATAGACGAGGTTACCTTCCAACGTCAATAATTTTTACAGAATCGGTAGAGGTGCTAAAAGGATTTGCACTGAGTAAATTTGGCTATTGTAGCTTAAGTGGTCTAGGAGATATGCACATTAAACCTATTAGAGGGCGGGGCCACGCCCACTTAATCAAAATTTTCGCCCGCATATGCCCCTTCCCTCATGCGATCCCCATATTACAGTTCGATAATAATTATATTTGAGTGCTTTTGTATGGCACTTTATACGTTTTCGTTTAATGGCGTTTTGTGGGCTTGGCAGTTGTCCGATCCAACTACGAGCTGCGCCTTAATTTTTTGACAAGAAACGTGTGTACCTCGGTATGACATCGTGTAATGAGCAGGGCTTGAAAACATTGGCAAGTTTCACATATGTTTGTATTATTGAGTTTGGCTATATTCGTTAACTGCTGTGCGTACATAGTCTGTAAAGATGTCATTGCAGTTGTATATCTCCAGTAATACCAATCATCACATTATCATATGTGACCTGGTCTAGGGAAAGGGGGCTTAGGTGTCAAAAAGTCAATTTTCACTTATTAGATGATTCGGATGGAGGATGCGATGCTTTTTTTTAACAGCTGTTGCCCATAAAAATAGTTTTCGCACGTTAGCTCCCTTTTCGTAGACCGCATATATATGTAGAGTTGGAGAGGTGAGATTTTGAGCTTCATTTAACCAAAAAAAATTAAATTCTGGGAAGTTGAAAAAAAATTACAGCTGTTCAAAAATGAGTGAGAATTATGAACAAATTCGCTATATTTTGAAATATTTGTATAAAAAAGGGAAGAATGAAATTGTGGAAAAAATTGACCATGACCATGACATAAGCAGCCATGACATCGCTAAGGAACTTAATATTTATCATCAAACGGTTTAGAACCATTTAAAAAAGGCTGGCTACAAAAATTAACTCGATGTTTGGGTACTACCCGAATTATCTGTGTAAAATTTAATGGACCGAGTTAACATGTGCCCTCCTTTGCTGAAAGAAATGAAATCGAAGCATTTCTGAAGCGAATGGTAACAGGAGACAAAAAGTGGATAAACAATGTGAGAAAAAGATCATGGTCCAAGCGTGAGGAAGCTCAACAAATGGTCGCAAAGCCAGGATTGACGCCTCGAAAGGTTATGCTGAGTCTTTAGTGGTATTGGGAAGGAATAATTCACTATGAGCTGCTCCAGCCTGGCCGAACGATTGAACATTTTACTGTCAACAACTATATTTTAATGTCAACTCAATTCTCAAATCGAAAACCTTTAATTTCGAAAAATTTAAGCGTTGGTTTCTCACCACGTTCGCTCACTAGAACTAATATCCGTATGACATCACTCAGAAAATAGTCCAAATATGCGTAGTCAGCTTCGAATTGTATCCATAAAACTACTGAATCTACTGAAAACAAGCTAATAAAAAATTGCAATGTACCAGTTTTAGTTCACATTAACATATTAATAAATGACTACATGAGAAAGTACATACAAGGTAGGTTTCAAAGTAAACAGGACTTTTTGAATCTAGCGCCCCCTGGTGGTGCCATATATATGTCGACTGGTGCGTTAGAATCTGCTATCTTAGTCGATTGCCCAGTGATAATTTCATGACATTTCATTGGTTAGAAGTGAAGTTATTGCGTTTTAAGTGTCAGTATGTTTGTGTTATCGGTGCGAAAATGAGCTTTGAACAAAGAGCAAACATTAAAATTCATTTTAAAATTGGTAAAACTTTTAAATTAATGACGATCAACATATGGGCCAATCAAAATCCGTGATCACCGAAAATGTAATTGAAACTGAGTGTGAATTCATCAAAAATTAGACGAAATCATTATTGAAATTCATGAAAATGGAATTGAACATCTCCAAAACATCGATTTATCTTGTTTGGTGCGCCGTATTCGACGTGTTCGGACCGAATATCACGAAGATGATAGTTGACATTTGTTGCTCGATAATGCGCCGTCTCATCGATCGACGCTTGTAATCGATTATTTGATCAAAAATCACATTTTAACCATTAACCATTCCCCATGTTCATGTGATATGGCATCGTGTGACATCTTCCTTTTCGAAAAAGTGAATTTGCCCATGAAAGGAAATCATTATGCAGACATAGAGGCCATTTTAAAAACCGGCATACTGGCGGTCATACCGGCCAACGAGCTAAAACACTCGTACGACATGCTTTTGGACTGTGTAGAAAGCTGTATTGAAGCAGAAAGAGATTATTTTGAATAAAATAAATTGATTTTGCCAAAAAACCAATTTGTTCGTTTTTTTTTTAAGTCCTGTTTACTTTAGAAAGCACCTTGTATATTTATTATCGCGTGGCATTTTATTTATATGTACAAGGGTCAAGTGTAAGCAAACATTATGTCTGCATGATGGTGACAATCCCAAATACACATGTCTTTTATAATCTTCTAAAAAAGTGTTGATAATATTTGTCAGTTGTCACATTAATTTAATCGACTCTCCTATTTCACTGGTTAAGTAAGTTGACATGCTTTGACTTTTTGATTACCCTGGTAATTAATTTAGCTGGATATTTTGTATTGTGTGCATGTAGTTGGCATAAAAAAGATAATATTTGGTTAAAAGGGCATTTCTACGTACTCGTATTCCGAATCGTGTGGGAATTGTTTAACCCGAAAACAAAAATTTGTAGTTATTACCGAAAATAGGAAGAGAACAGAATTTGAAGTAATTATTCATGCGATTTGCCATTGGCTAGGGATTATTGGGCAGGCAATACATGATACGATGTGACGAGTTTAGACAATCCAATTATACAACCCACCCAATACTTTTCAGGCGATAAACTTACGCATCAGGGTAGGTAGAGCCGAAAATTTCTCCACAATAATCTATTTTAGGCCCTGTTCACCAAGCCACGCTTCCATTCTGCTTGGCTATTTATTTTTCCTTAAAAAAGTGAAGAATATGGTGCTTGAAAATCAATAGGCGAGTGTTTGAGAGATGGCAAGAGAGGTCGAAAGAGTGATATTTTCGGTGTAAAACGTTTTCTTGCTCGACTCGTCGAGATAAGCTGATCTTTTTTTAAGTATTGTAAACAGGTATCTTTGAACATGGTTGATCGTACGAATTCCGATCTCACTTTCATGGAGAGCATTATAACAGACGATGAGACGTGGGTTTATAAGTTTGACAAGCAAATAAGTCAACAATCGTCGTGATGGAGGGGAAAATACAACTGAAGCAAAAAAAAACCACGGCAAATCCTCTCAAAAATCAAGGTGTTGCTCATTGTTTTTATCGATATTCGTGGTTTGGTGCATCATGAATTTGTCATTAAGGAGTTCTATTTTGGCCGTATTGATCAGTTTGCTTGAGAACTTCCGTTGAAAACTGCCGAAATTATGGAAGAACAATTCATTGGTTTTACACGATTATAATGCACCATCGCATCGAGTCGATGTGACCGAATTTAAAGCGATAAAAGCAATTACCACCACCGAGCAAAGACCGTATTCACCAGATTTGGCTACGTGTGATCTTTCTTTTGTTCCCCGAACTGAATTTTCCCTTCCGTGGAATCCGAAAATTCACTGAAAGAGCTTGAGGCCATTCCAAAAAAGTGTTTAGGAAAAGTATTTCGAAGACTGGAGAAACCGTTGATAAAAGTACATATATTACATCTGTTGGGGATTACTTTGAAGGCAGCAAAGTAAATATTGATGAATAATTAAATATTTTACGTTTTATTTAAAATTTCGGGGTACTTTTGTCACAATGTATGTCACCATGTAATGCTGTCATACAAATTGATTGATAAACAACTCTTTAAATCCTTTTATGCTATCAAAAATGCACCTGCGATGAGTACTTTTTATATAATTAATATTCGGTATTCAAGTTTACCGTATCCGCACAAAGGTTAATCATTAAATAAACACATTAACGTCACATGAGATTTATTGGCGCCTTTATATGCATGCACCAGCGCAAGTTGTATAATGATTGTATAAAAATTCATCAGACTCTTGCTGCGTCCGCCGTTAGACTAGGCTATCAGTTTGTGATTATATCGCCAAGAGTGAAAATGTTTGCAAAGCTGCTCCGTGCCCACGAATATTACAAGTCCATACAACCGTTATTCTTCTTCACACACGCACTCGGCATCACATCGTACGTCGTGGTTAGCAATGAGCGGGGCTTCAAATCTTTAACAAACTCACGATATTCACATGTTGTTACATTTTTTAGCTTATCTCTTTTCGCATACTGCTGTGCGTACATAGTCTACTGCAAGGACACATATATCGGGCACTTTCTCAATACAGATATCACAAATGGCGGCGAAATTGCTATAGTTTTGGCCAGCGGCATTGCGGCGGTGATCGTTTTAATAACGAACACTCTACGCAGACGACGTTTGCTGTGGGTTTTCGAGTATTTTCCGAAAATTGATAAGAATTTCGAACGAATCGGCATATGTTGGAATTATACAAAAGTGTTGCAAAATGTGATTTGGCAGCTAATTTTTACGGGTTTTATTTTCTTGATGACTTTGATAATCTATATTGGTTGTTGGGTACGTTTGCAAGCGTTGCCATCGTGGCAATTAATCTATATTACCTTAAATCAACTGATTGGAATATCTTTCACGATTTTAATATTCAATTTTTTAATGATGTTGACGAAGTTGAGACTTACGGCATTGAATAAGGTGAGTGAGGGGTGTATAAGCTAATATTGTGCATGACGCATATTTTAGTTGTGGACCACCAGCTGAGAACAATTCTTTATATATATCATCACTTATAACAGATTTTGCTTTTGTTTTTCATATTTTCAGCCGCACACTTATGCACATAAACAACAATAAAGACACTAAAAGGGTAACCAAAAAAAGTATTAGAAAAATATGTTTGTTGATCAGCAAGTGAGAATAAGGAAGAGTGTAAGAGTTCGGGTGTTACTGTACATTTCGTAATCTTGATCAAAGACGGGAAATTATCTTTATAGTTTGAAAAAAGTGCGTTTAAAAAATTTTGTGAAAAATTCTGAAAACGGTCTGTTTAAGGGGTTATATGGGCAAAAAACGGCCTTTTTTCAATCATTTTTTTTTTACATATAAAAAATTAAATATTTTAATGAATTTTTTTTTTATTTAAAAGACTCATATTTAATAAACATTTTGTAAAATTTTCAAAAAAAAATATCAAAATGGCAGTCATTACGACACCATTTCCAGCAGTCCCTCGGAAAAAAGGTGCATCCGCGTTGTCAGCAGAACTTCTTTCAGGGTCATCTCAAATAAAAATAAAAAATACGTGTTTAAGTAAAGACAATAAACTAGGTATTGGACGAAGGAAAACAAAAAAACAATGAAAATTGGATTTTTTACAGACGTTTTTATAAAAAAAAGGGTAATTTCGATGAAAATTCCTCGACATTTTTTTTAATAGTTGTAATTAAAAAAAAATCCTTCGTTCAAGACCTTGTAAATGATATCTCGAAGACCTGCATAAAATTTCATCAAGATCGGTTAAGTAGTTCGCGAGAAATCTTGACAACCGACTTTTAAAACATAGTTTTGAGAAAAATGCGTTTAAAGTTTTACCTACTGCGCCCTCAGACTATATCTGACCTCGAGGGTCCACCTTTTCAAGGTTGTATCTCCGAAACTATTAGTCGGATCAACTTGAAAATTTAGGACAATATTCTAGAGAGAATTATATTATAGAATTTAATAAGACAAAGAAAAATTTCAATTTTTTGAAACCTATGTAACCCCTTTACTGAAAATTATTAATATGCATAATAATTGAACCACCCACGTAGTTACAATATATGCACATATATGCAAGCGTACAACAATAATCGCAATCACACCCCTTTAAGCCATAATTCTAACACGCCAGCTATGATTACTCAACAAACATGTCACATGGCTGCCGGTAATGAATTACCTGAGCACAAAAAATTGACATTAAATTTATTTATTGGCATATCCTAGCCGACATTCAACAGGCAGTCGACAATATTGGCAAGTCGAAAAAGTCTTTTCTTATTTCTAATCAAACTTCAGCTTATTTTTTTTATTTATAATGAACTTTAACGAACCAAATATGTACCATTTTGGTCGCCCACTTTTTAGCATTTTTCCGCTAGAGACATTTTTCCATCAGTGGAAAACTTTTTTGGTTTCCCGAGGAAAAACTGCGACATGTAATTCTCACATGCTTCTCTTGAAGCCAACTTTACTCCATTAAGGGACTTCTGCATTGACCGAAACAAATAGTAGTCCCATAATGGAAGGTCAGGGCTACATGAAGGATACATCAAAACTACCCAGTTTTTGCCGAGTCATCAAAAATGTGTATGTCGTCTAGCGTTTTCTTCATGGAAGACGAAGCCCTTTCTGTTGATCAGTTCCGGCCGTTTTTTTTCGATTGCTTGCTTCAATCTCATCAGTTGTTGGCAGTAAAATGTAGAATCGATCGTTCAATCAAGCTGGAGCAGCTCATAACGGATGGCTCCTTTTCAATCCCACACACCACTCTCTCACCATAACTTTTCGAGGCGTCAATCCTGGCTTTGCGACCATTTGTTGAGCTTCACCACGCCTCACACATTATTGTCGTATTAGATCCACTTCTCGCATTCTGTCACAAATAGCTTCAGAAATAGTTCGTTCAGTTCATTTCCTTTTCCTTTCCATTTCATTAAATTTTTGACAGACAATTCATGCGGTATATAAACATCGAGCTTCTTTTTGTAGCTAGCTAAATGGTTTTCTCCATTTTCTAAATGGTTCAAAACCAATTGATGATGAATGTTAAGTTCCTTAGCGATGTCGTGGCTGCTTATGTGACGGTACTGGTCAATCCTTTCCATAATTTCATCAACTTTTTCAACGATAATTCGACTGGAGCGAGGTGCATCTTCGAAATTTCAAGAAAGGAATCGAGCGAACCATTGTTGTGCTACACGAAGTGATATACCATCGTCTCCGTAAACTTCACAAATTTCATTGGTGGCTTGCGTGGCATTCTCCCTTTTTTATACAAAAATTTCAAAAAATAGCGTTCTTTATTATTTTCACTCATTTTTTAACAGATGTAAGCTGTTGCAAGAGTAGAAAATGTTCGGTTACACCCGAATTTAACACTTCCTTACTCGTTTCTGTGTGTGTTTTAGAAAGTAGGATTTGAAGTAATGCAGCGTTTAATGCCAGATCTGGTTGTAATAGTCCAATTGACACCTTTGGAATGCTTCGTCTTATACTGTGCACCAATTTTGCTCATTTCTCGGGACGAAATGACACATTAGGAATATCGAAAGAACTGAGCGAATTGTATGCGTCAGTGATAGCAATAGGTTTCCGTGAATTCACGCAATGTAAAAAGTATTTTTTGAACGCACTGTATCTACCAGATATGTATAGCGAATTCTAGACTGAACACTAATAATTACAAAAAAAAAACCAAAATTTTAATGCACACCACAGACGATGGAGGTCGTGAAAAAAATACATAGACATTTATGTATTTACAAAAACAAAAATTAATAAAAAAGATTATTGAGCTTAACACAACCATATGCAAATAATGTGTAAAAGCATAAAAAACTAATGGTGTCAGAAATGAACTATGCAAAATGTAGCCGGCTAGCAACCACAAATACATTAACATTAGAATTACTTACAACTTTACAACAATTGTTGTTAACATATACACATACATATATACAATGACGTCGGTTGTAACGTGAAATAATAGTAAAGCATGTTAATTGCTCAAGGTCACGCAAACAGCTTGGGGTCACTGCTCTTTTTGATTATCTCGTTTTTTAAACCATATATAAATATCTTTGAAGAACTGCCAGAGTTTACATCCAATGTAGCAAATATAATATGGTATGTAACCAAACATTTGGAAGTAATTGTCACTATAATTATTTGCAAAAAATGCCAAAAAGAGGAAATAGAAAAAGCTCATGCGAAATAGTTATTCCGTAAACCAAATGTAAAGTAAAAACTATTTACTGAACTTGATGATGGTAACCCTGAAGCTATTGTTTAGGAAACGGCCACAAGATAGGTCGAATCAGCTGAGTCGGGCCACGATTCTACGTTTTTCACTGTTCCTGCTATTAGTAGGTTAAACTGCTAGGTAATGTGCGATACTAGATGGAGTTCAGTCCCTAGGTCCAAGAGAAAGAGTCATAATTTTTAACAGACTCCTCGGCCACACTATCGATACCTCCTCCAGTGTATCATACCGTGGGAATCCCAGATGCTTACAACATAGTTTTGTCAATGGGGTAGAAGTACACAAGAGATGATCCACTGTTTAAATGGTGCTCTGCTCTAAAAATTTCCGGCAGTCTTCTCGATCTGTCAGTCCCATTCTGCAGGCGTATGCCGGCACAAGACAGTGACCAGGTAGTATTCCGATCATTTTCCTACAGTCTCTTCTATCGACAGCCTATAGGAATTTTTTTACCTCTGGTCTACAGTTTCGCACATAACTTTTGCAGTTTTGCACAGAGATACAAGGTTTGTCTGGAAAGTAATAGGACTTCCGCCGGGAGCGGTCCTAGTTTACGAACGTCATTTTCACATGACGTGTTTCTGTGAGTGGTGCGAACCGAAAATGCAGCGTTCGTTAGAGCAGAGGTACGGGATTAAATTCTATGTGTCGGAAAATCTGCGACAGAGACGTTTTATATGATCAAGCAGGCTTACCCAGATATTGATTTAGCAAGAAGTGGTTGGTATCACCAGGCCGGGAGAGGTCACTGATGAAGACCATGCTGGGAGACCTGCGACTTCGACAAACACCGCAAAGTTTTGAACTCAGACTGTCGACTAAGTATTCGTTTATTTGCCAAGATCTTAAAATTATCAAAATCTACGGTTCATGATATTGTGACTTGCACATGCGTTCAAGATGGTCCCAAAAATGCACACTGACAACCGGAAATTGCGGCGTGTGGAATAGTGCCAAGAGAATTTTGAATAACGTAATGACAGGTGACGAGTCATGGATCTTTGACTTTTTTGTGTGCGCTTGAATGAAAAGGCCGACGAAAGGCAAGCATTAGGAAACGACAGACGCGATCTAAGCAACATTCACCTCGATGGTCCGAAGAATGCCTTCCGTGACGCCTTTAATGCTTTAATGCTTGGAGATCGCGCTGGCAGGGCTGTATCGACGCAGAAAGAGGCTATTTTGAAAGTTTTTAAACAATTGTAACGTTTGGTTCAATAATTTTTTTTTAATCGACTCTGTCCTATTACTTTCCGGACAAACCCTTTAGTATGTTTTGAAAAATAAATGTAACAAAAAAATCATTGTTTAGATAATATCCTGCATTGTCAGGAGTCAGATGTCATAATTAAACATTATTAAACACAATTGTGCATTCTAATGGTAAACAAGTGACTTTTGACATGCCATGATTTTTAGATTACAATAATGATTTATGCAGTTTAACTAAGAAGTTTTAAGGTATTGTGGACGTTTCTACTCAAAATTCATATGTTAAACTCACTCTGCCAAAATGGAAAATGACAAAGCAGTGGCGTGCTGTCATACACATATACCATATATGGATGTATATGATCTACTTCATTTATTAATTTCCGCCATAAAGCATTCATAGTGAAAACATGTCATGAGGTGAAGTTTGTCAGCACATTCCCGTTAAGACACACTTTTCAAATTGGTACACTTTTTTACTGAATACGGGTATTTTGCCAAAGTGTTAGAAGCCCATTTCACCGAGTGATTTATTTAGTCAATTAAGAAGTTTAATTAAAAATCCCGTGTCATCTAACTAAATATTTAGTAAACTTGAAAGCACTTAAATTCCCGGCGGGGTTAAATATTTTGCTAACGCATGCATTAATGCTTTTCATTTGCTTAAAATTGACTGGACTCCAAGTATGTATGAGTGCAAGTGATGTATAATGATTTAATAAAAATTAATCGGGCTCTTGCTGTGTCCGTCGGTAGAATAAAGTATCAGTTTGTGATTATATCGGCAAGAGTGAAAATGCTTGTGGTGCGACGGACTTTTGCAAATCTATTCGGTGCCCACGAATACTATAAATCCATAGAGCCGTTATTGTTCTTTACACACACACTTGGAATCACATCGTACGTCGTTGTTAGCAATGAGCGGGGCTTCAAATCTTTAACAAACTCACGATATTCATATGTTGTTATATTTTTGACCTTATCTCTTTTCGCATACTGCTGTGTGTACATAGTCTATTGCAAGGTTACATATATCGGGCACTTTGTCAATACGGATATCACAAATGTTGGCGAAATGGCTATAGTTTTGGCAAGCGGATTGGAGGCGGTGATCGTTTTAATAACTAATGCTATACGCAGACGACGTTTACTGTGGGTTTTAGAGAATTTTCCGAAAATTGATAAGAGTTTCGAACGAATCGGCATCCGTTGGAATTATAGGAATTTGTTGAAAAATGTGATTTGGCGGCTAATTTTTACGAGTTTTATTTACTCGATTAATTGCATAATTTATATAAGCTGTTGGATTCGTTTACAAGCATTACCATCGTGGCAATTAATATTTATAGTTTTATGTCAACAGATTGGAATATGTTTTTCACTTTGTCTATTCAGTCATTTAATGATGTCGACGAAGTTGAGAATTAAGGCATTGAATAAGGTGAGTAGCGGGCGGATAAGGTAATTTTACGTACTTTAGTTCTAAATCACGTTGAGCAAAATTCTTTAAATATATCACCACTTATAATAGAACTTTTGTTTTTATTTCACATACTTATGGAAATACTTAAAATATTAAAAACAAAAGTTTTACGAGGTTTGACCAGCAAGTAAGAAACAAGTAAGAAAGAGCTAAGTTCAGGCGAACTGAATATTTCGTACTCTTGCAAAGATCAAAGACGGGAAATTATTTTCAGGGATGGGCAAAACTTCGTACAGGGTTTGTCCAGAAAATAATAGAACTGAGTCGATTTAAACAAGTTTATTTCAAAATAGGCTCCTTCAGTGTCGATGCAGCGCTGCCAGCGCAATTTCCAAGCATTGAGGACGTCATTTAAGGCATTCTCCGGAATAGTCTAGAGAGCCGAGGTACATGCTGCTTGGAAACCCTCTGTCGTCTCAAAAATGATTGACTTTCATCGGCCTTTTCAAGCAAGGAAAAAGTCCGGGGACCACATCTGGGCTGTAGGGCGGCTGCGGAAGCRTWGGGATGCCGGCCTTGGTTAGGTAGCTATTCACAAGAAAGACGGGCGTTGTCATGGTGCAACTTTCAATCAGCTGCGATGTCTTGTCGGACCCGATTAACCCTTCGTTTCAGTCTCTTGAGGATTTCCACGTAAAACTTGGCGTTGACGGTTTGTCCAACAGGAAGAAAGGAAGGAAGGAGGAAGAAGTTCATGGTGAACGATGCCTTTGATGTCAAAAAAGACAAAGAGCATCGGTTTTGCTCATTCTTCCGGTCTTCATCAGCGACCTCTTTTCGGCCCTCCAAAAAGGCCTAGTGCCACCGAAACACACCACTTATTCCTAAAGCAACATCTGGGTAAGCCTGCTTGATCATATCAAACGTCTGCATTTTCGGCTTGCACCACTCACAGAAACATGTCGCACGAAAATTGTTATCCTGACTCTCCAGGTACTTAGAAACAACTGACCAGCCGCTCGGTCGTTAGCTAAGAACGTCTTCCACTTAATCCAGTCGGTGCGCGAACGCTTCGAAGTACTGTCGCGGCGGAAGAAAATTAGTCCTATTAATTTCCGGACAAGCCTCGTGAGTAACTACACTTTAAGCGCGTTATTTGTGCAAAGTTTTATCCTGCTACATTCATTGTTATCTGATTTGCATACTCGAAGATGAAATAATCAGATGGAGTTTGAAATTGTGTTATAAGAGAAGTAGGCGTGGTTGTAGTTCAACTAACTCTTTTTCGTACCGTAATATTGGAATGCCAGGGTAATATTATGTGTCGAATTTTTTTGAAATTTTTGGAGTAGGGGGCCTCTAAATGTGGACAGTGCAACGCCCACCATTCAATTTTTACACGGGCTTTTATCTAGCTAGACGTACCATCCTTAGTGTAAAATTTTATGTCTATGAAGCATTTAGTTATTTATTTATCGTGCTTTTAGTAGTTTTTTACTAAACCGTTATAAAGGGAGTGGGCATAGATACTGTCAGTGGGTGGGACTTAAAAATTTGTTCTGAGCGAATTTGCTAGTTACAAAGATTATTATATTAGAGGGCGAGACCACGTGAATTTTGTCCCCCAAGTGCCCCTTGCTACTGCTTCGTTATCATTTCAAAAGTGGACATAGCGGTTACTAATTTTAATTAATACTATGAACTCTTGTCGTAGACTAGCAACAAAAACCTGTTGACACGGCCCAGAACCCGTTTCGCTTCAAAGTCTGGAAACTGAAATTAAAATTTTTAACTCAACAAAACTTTTTAAAGGCTTGGGAACTCTAATATCTATCTGAGACTTTTAGAAATTTAGAAAGACTAAATCTTCAGTAGTTACAACAAATTGATGTTTTATAATTAGTTAAAAAAAAAAAACTGAGAAACTCTGAAAATCACCCATCTAATAAGCCGCCTATCTAAATAAACATTAAAATTGATTTCCAGTAGCTTAGTTCGGTAGAAACCTTTAAATTCTTATTTTGAATAAAGCTTCTACATACTTTCTTTTCTCCGCTTCGCTAAACGCAGAAGTCAACTGTTTTGTCACCTTGTAAAAGGAAGGACTTATAAAGGGATTAGAACACTGCTAGTATTGTCTAAAAAGGATATATTTAATCAAAAACCTATAAAATACGTTCTAATTGAGCCACCCACGTAGTAACAATATATATACATACATACGAGGTTAGTACAAAAAGTATCGCGAATTTTGAATTTTCCCGGGGTATGTGTATTCCATTTTGGATTGTTTTGTTGCATGACATTGTTAACCGTATCTCTTAATTATGCTGAATTACTTTTTTTCAGCTGTTTTTCTTGAACGCGTTTAGGGTCATCTTCGATTAGGATCAAAGAACCTTTAAAATGTTAAAAAAAAAATTTCAAAAACAAAAACATTTTAAACTGAGGTTGGGAAAGCAAAGGTTGGGGTGTGGCTGAATTTTAAGGGTTAGGAATCGTTTATCTCAATTTCCGTCAAAACTACGAGTCCTATCTTAAAAAAGTGATGTCAATATTGCAAGTAACAAAAAAAGGAATATAACTTGTGTTTATAGATAAATTTTGAGATACATTTTTGGATTTGTGGAAGAAACAAAAATTCCTTTTAAAAGTGCAATATATCTGGGGTGATTACTTTAAAGATGATAAAAAATATATTCATGAATAAATAAATACTTGTTTAAGGTAAACATAGCCCCAATACCCTTTGAACAAACCTTGTACATACAACTATAATCGCAATCACAATGCCCTTGGGACATAGTTTTAATGTGCGCGCTTTGATTACTTAACAAACATGTCACATGGCTGCCGGTAATGAATTACCTGTAACAAATAGAGCCAAAGTTTATTTATTGGCATATCCTAGCCGACATTCAACAGGCAGTCGATAGCTCAAACAAACAGTCGTGTGCGAGACGCGTGCTGGATAGCAACTTTTGCGCAGAAAAAAACTAATATTAAAAAAAAAATATGAAAAAAATTGTCAATCAAAGTTACGAAACAACGATCGAACTCGCCAACACCTTCCAGCAGCCAGCGGCGGCAACCCGCCTTCAACGCATACGTCAGTACTTCATTTCGCAAGAAGTTTTCGCCACACTCCAGCCGCTCTTCCTGTTCACCTACATCTACGGTCTGACACCGTTTCGCATTGTAAAGCGTCGTAACGGTACCAGCGAGATACGCGCGTCCTGCTTCGGCTTTTGCAACACGGCCGCCTATGTGATGCTTTACGGCGTTTGCTTTCTTAATTCACTGTTGAATGCCGAATCTGTCGTGGGCTACTTTTTACGCACGAACATCTCTATTGTGGGTGATACACTGCAGATATGTAACGGTATTGTCACCGGTATTGTCATCTATACGACGGCATTGACCCAGCGTTGTAAGATGCGCCGCATAATTGAGGTGTTCAACGAGTTGGATTTGAATTTTGCGAATATTGGAGTGCGTGTAAAGTATTCGCGTATTTACCGTTATGCACTGGTGCTGATCGTTGCGAAAACGCTGATAATTGCGATCTATTGTGGGGGTGTTTATTTGCTTTTGCGTTCGGCGCAAGTGACGCCGTCGTTGTGTGTGTACATCGCATTCGTTTTGCAACATTCGGTGTTGTTCTTGGCAATTTGCCTCTTTTGTTTTATAGCGCGAGGCTTTGAGCGCCGTCTGGTCATACTCAATAAGGTAGGATGCAAAAGGTGTATGTGTGGGGGTATTTTAATTATACGAGTATAAAAAATTAAATGTTTGGAAGAAAGTGGGAGAGACAAAAGCTTTACTATTTTAATATGATGTGAACGAAAAACTGTAGGCCAACATTATCCTCAAAGTCATCCATAAGTGTAACAGTAAGCTTGTACCTTTACTGGTAAACTTTTCGTGGCAACTGACCTTCTGCTACAGGGTTTATCCGGAAAGTAATAAAACTAAGTCAATTTAAAAAAATGCATTAAACCAGTCGTTAAAATTCTTTAAAAACTTTAAAAAATAGGCGCCTTCTGCGTGGATTTGGCGCTGTAAGCACGATTTTCAAGCGTCAAATCGTCAAGGAAGTCATTCTCCGGAATAGCCTTGAGAGCCGAGCATGCTTCTTGGATCCCCTTTTGTCGGCCTTTTCAGGCAAGAATAAGGGCACATCTGGGCTGTAGGGCGGCTGCGGAAGCGATGGGATGCCGACCTTGGTTACGTAGCTGTTCACAACAAAGGCGGTGTGTCGTGGTGCAATTTATAATCGGCTACGATGTCTTGTCGGACCCGATTGACCCTTCGTCTGTGTCTCTTTAGGACGTCCACATAAAACTTGGCGTTTACGGTTTGCCCAGGAGGAACAAATTCATAGTGGACGATGCCTTTGATATCAAAAAAGGCAATGAGCATCGTTTTTACTTTGGATTATTCTTCCGGTCTCCATCAGGGGCCTCTTCTCGGCCCTCTAAAAAAGACTGGAGCCACCGAAACACACCAGTTCTTGCTAAAGGTGGGTAAGCTTACGTCCCTGTCCCAGATTCAGAGTTTCACATAGAAATTATTCACGTACCTCTGCTCCAACGAGCGCTGCATTTTCGACTTCCACCTGTTTGTCCTGACTCTTCCGGTGATCGGAGATAACTGACCAGCAGCTCGTTCGTTAGTTAGGAATGCCTTCAACCGAATGCAGTCGGTGCGCGCACGCTCCGAAGTATAGTAGCGGCGGAAAAAAGTCAGTTCAATTACTACCCGGTCTTCTCAATAATTCTTTATTATTTTCAAACGGAAATCAAACTTGTATCGGTCCTCGTGGTTTGGACATAACTCTAGTACATGTTTGGTTATTCTTCTCTTTAAATTTGGTTGTTTCTTCAATGATACCTAACGAGGAGAAATTTTTGTCCGTTCCCACGACAGTTGGGTCTACGAAAACCGGAACGGACCCGGATTTTTATCCGGCCAAGGACTGTCAACTCGGCAGAATTCTGCCGTTAAATCACAACAACAACAGGAGAAATTTTGTAGCATTACACCTAAAATTAATATTTCTAAATAATTTTGAAGTCTTGAAAAGAGCTTTCGATAATTTATAAAAATATAAAATAATATTTCTACATAATTTCGGGGCCTTGATACGGACTTTTGAAGTAACCTCATCTCCCAAACTCTGTTATTGACTTTCCAGGTCTTGTCTTCAATAGTAGTTACCATTATTGCAGCGAAATATCAACTAAATTAAGACCAGTGAGCGAATTATAACAACAATTAACAATAGAATTGTTGAAATATGATTACTGTGCTTAAATTATTGCATTACAAAAGAATTATTTTCATTTCGCTATATGAAAATTACATTAATTCATTTTTAATTAGGAGAAATGACCGCGCCAGTCGATTTTACATGAGCCATGAGATAGTTTGTTGTGATATTTATAGAGGAATATCTATGTATGCACATTAGGGTGGACCGAAGTTTTTTTTTTTTTTTTTTTGCCTTAGATCATTGAAATTATGAATATTGGTAAACAATATTGTGTAGTCGAAAAAGTTTTTTCGTTTTTCTTCAATAGGTGTCATTGCAGTTCCACTCGCCAGTGCTACCAATCAAATCGCGTTGGAAAGGTGAGATTTTAAACTTCATTTAACCAAGAAAAATTAAATTCGGAGAAGTTGAAAAAAGTTACTGTTGTTCAAAAATGAGTAAAAATAATGAACAAATTCAATATATTTTGAAATTTTTGTATAAAAAAAGAACAATGCCTCGCAAGCCAACAATGAAATTTGTGAAGTTTACGGAAACAATACTGTATCAGGTTCGTGTAGAACAATAATGGTTCGCTCTTTCCCTTCTGGAAATTTCAGTGTGAAAGATGCACCTCGCTCTGGTCAACCTATCGTTAAAAAAAACTCAATGAAATTATGGAAAAGATTGACCAGGACCGTCACATAAGCAGCCATGACATAGCTAAGAAACTTAACATTCATCATCAAATGGTTTTGAACCATTTAAAAAGGCTGACTACAAAAAGAAGCTCGATGCTTGAGTACCACATGAAATGTCTGCGAAAAATTTAATGGACCGAATTAACATCTACGATTCTTTGCTGAAACGAAATTAAATCGAAACATTTCTGAAGCGAATGGTAACAGGAGACGACATGTAGATATAATGCCACAATAATGTGCGCAAAAGATCTTGGCCTAAGCGTGGTGAAGCTCAACAAAGATCGCGAAGTCGGCATTGACGCCTCGAAAGGTTATGCTGAGTATCTGGTGGGATTGAAAAGGAATCATTCACTATGAACATTGAAGCAAACAATCGAAAAAAACGCCCAAAACAGATCAACAAAAAGGATTTCGTCTTCTATCAAGACAACTCTAGATCACAAACATCTTTGATGACTCGGTAAAAACTGGGAGAGCTTGGCTGTGCAGGTTTGATGCATCCACTATATCGCCCTGACCTTGCACTATCGGACTATTATTTGTTTCGGTCAATGCAGAACTCCCTTAATGGAGTAAAGTTTCCAAGAGAAGAATTTGAAAATTACTTGTCGCAATTTTTCGCCGAGAAACTAGAAAATTTTTATACTGATGGAATAATGTCTCCAGCGGAAAAATGGCAAAAAGTCTTCGACCAAAATGGTATATATTTGGTTCATTAAAGTTCGTTATAAATATAAAAAATAAGATGAAGTTTGATTAGAAATACAAGACTTTTTCGACTACCCAATATTAAAAATTTGTATTATTTATTTATTTAAAAAAAAAGTAAAATTGTTTTGTTTGGCCCACCCTATATATGTATACGTAAATTACAATAGCATACAACAAATGATTAGTATACTAAAAACAAAAGCTTGTCTGAGCAGAATTTTCATTAAATATTTACCAATCAACTAGACGGACAGACAAACCGACAGGCACGACCAGACAAACAAACATGTTATTCATCTAACTTATCTTATAAAATATTGTGCTTATGTACATACATATATGTATAGCTAAATGAGTATCTTCAACTAGAAGGTAGATTATATCCCCTAGTAGCCTAAATGGGAAAGAGAAAGTATTTTGTGGTGGGAAAGGAGAACGGTTTATCAATTAACAAAGGGCGGCAATTGGTAATATATGTACGTATTATTTAATGTTTGTTCTGTTTGTGGCTGCCAGTGGCTTATGTTTACATAAATATATGTATATGTACATATGCCTTTAGATACATATGTACGACAATAAAAAACTATACCGAAGGAAAGTACTTAATTGAATTGTGTTGAGAAATTAAATTAAATACAAAAAAACCTCATAAAACGCAAATGCAAATTACCCGCATGCGCTTCTATGTATGTATGTACTATACGCAAATGTGTTACCACAATGAGCAATTAAAAGAGCAACAAGTCAATAGTTAATTCTTTAGACCCCTGACGACGTTTATGTATGTAGCTGGCTTACAGGGATATTCATTTGGGACTTCTGAAATTTTTCTTAATTAAAAAAAAAAAACTACCCGGCTTTTACCGTTGTAGATCAAAAATTTCCTTGCGAGATGCTACGTGAACTTGGCTAGCTATAAAATAAGGACTTCTAACCTAATTTTTTCCGAAAGATCAATTTGACACTTGATCACAAATTCGAAACGTTGGTAATCGTGAAAAAAATTATTTCTTTAGAGAACTATTCTCTGAATGTACTGTAATGGTAATTATTCTTCGTCAATGATCGAAACTTATTCCCCTGCAATTGAATGGAAAAAGATACCGCAAGCATGTAGGCGAATGCTTTTCTCTAGAAAATTAGTTGCCGTAACGAATATGCGCTTAACTTTGGAAACCAAAAACAATACAACCATTTCGAGTAATGGTCAAGCAGTCCGTTCCCACTACAATCGAATCTACATAACCGGAACGAATCCGGATTTTTTATCCAGGCAAGAACTGTTAACACGGCAGAAATTAGACTTATGAATTTGCCAAACGAGGCATACTCATTTAGTTAAGCATTACAAATGCGGTTAAAAGATCTTAACAGGTAACCTATTATATACCAAGCAAACCTAGTTGACAATCTCTTCAATGCACGCATAACTAGCGTCCACTTCAGTGGATGATTAAACGCTGATGGGTGTGCTCGTCGTCAAAAAAAGTGACAATAACAGGTGGGTTAGTGGCAAGAATCGACATGAATGTCGGCACCTAAATACGAGTGCAGATAAATATTTTAATATCGTGTGAGGTGTCGCGGCGCAAACTCCCGCCACTAATTTGCATATGAAAACGGATACTTTATTAAAAAAGTAGTGAAAGGATATACAATTCATTAGAAATGGTGAAAACTGCGACCAATACTGATGGTTAAACACAAACATCACATTACATACATGCGTCAACACAGCGTACGCTCGCTCCTAGGCGTGTTGAGTGCCGCCTTGGGTTAAAAAGTCACAACAACAGGCCAACTTTTGGCCAGTTAACGCGGTGCTGCCAACGCGAATGGACGGAGATACGAACGGCATTGAGGCACAGGAAGTGCGCGCCACACGACCACAGCGTGTTAGCGGTTTACGTCGGTTCTTTCAAGCGCAACAGCTATACGAAAGCGTACAGCCGCTATTCGTGATCACTTTTTGGCACGGTCTCACGCCGTTCTTTATCAAAAATGACGGCGCCGGCAATAAGAAATTGAAGGAATCTATTTTCGGTTATATGAATACGTTTCTGCACATCACCATCTATGTGGCATGTTATGTGTTGACGCTGATGAATGATTTCGAAACGGTTGCGGGCTACTTCTTTAATACCGGCGTCTCACGTTTCGGTGATACATTGCAAGTTTTGAGCGGTTTGATCGGTGTTACGATCATATATATTACAGCGATGCTACCGAAGCACCGCCTAGAGTACAGTTTACGCACAGTACAGAATATTGATCTCATGTTGCATAAAGTTGGTGTAAAAATAATATACACCAAATTGTTGCATTACTCTTATTTTAGTATATTGCTGGTGTTTGCCGTGGACACAGTGTATTCGTGCGGTAATTTTATGCTCTTGAAGTCGGCTAACTTAGAACCGTCAACGCCACTTTACATCGTCTTTACATTGCAACACACGGTTATCTCGATCGCTACGGCGATGTATCACGGTTTTGTGAAAATGCTGGAAATGCGACTAACTATGTTGAATAAGGTGAGAGGGGTTGCTGTGGGCACGAGAATATATTAAATATCGAGCAATCGTTTTTTTTAGGTGATGAAAACTTAAAGCGAGTCGAAATTATTAAAATTGATCAAAGAAACGAAGCATAAATGAATACAATTAAATTTTATATTGAACTCGGTTTAGGAGTATACTAAACAGTGCTGTGTAAATATAAAAAAAAAAACTTAAATAATGCCTACACTTAAGCGAATTATGAAATATGGAAGCAAGGGGCGCGCCTAACAATACATGTTCTTTAGGGGGTTACATGGGTTTCACAGTTTCAAAAAATCAAAAAAAAAATGTTTTTTCTTATTAAATTCTATAATATAATTCTCTCTAGAATATTGTCCTACATTTTCAAGTTGAGCGGACTAATACTTTCGGAGATACAACCTTGAAAAGGTGGTATAGGCTGAGGGCGCAGTAGGTAAAACTTTAAAAGTGTTTTTCTTAAAACTATGTTGATGAAATTTTACACAGGTCTTCGAGATATCATTTACAAAGTCTTGAACGAAGGATTTTTTTTCTTTATTTACAACTATTTTAAAAACGTCTGCCAAAAATCCAATTTTTTTTTTTTTTTTTGTTTTCCTTCCTCCAGTACCTAGTTT